GCCTTTACGCAGCAGCTGCATGTCCTTCTGATTATTTCTTCTGCTGAAAAGTGGTCAAAGAGTTATTCAGGCCAAAAATCAGTCCAGGTGTAAGGACATGAAACTCTTTGGCCCAGTGTCCTAATCCACATGCCACCTAGTGTTATTAAAAGCTAGGCAAATCATAGGATCTGTGATATGTGCAGTAGCAGCAAGAAAAACATAGAAATGAGAATTTGGAAGCTACCAAAGTAGACTGATGTAGTAGGTGTTTTGAATATTTCCAATATTTACAGCAACTGTAAAAAAACAGAAAACAAACTTTCCTGCTACACAGTTATCTGTTAAGAATATGCCTATATACCATCCCCATTCTGTCCATGACTATAAACTAGACAAAAATATTCAAAGCAGAATTTACTCATTAACATACAATAAATGTATTTTTAAAGATTTTTGAATGCATATATAGCAACTTGACTATTATTTTAAACCTCTGTTCAGCTGCACGAAAACACAAAGACTGTCATGCAGCTGAAGCACAGGACTGGGAATGAAGAAGTACACTAAGATCTGACATGGGCTTCCTTTTTTTTTTTTTTTTTTTTTACCTCCATCCTACCAATCTTTCTAGGACTCATTTTAATCTTCTGTAGAATGGAAACAGCAGCTCATACAGAAATCTCAGGGAGACTGTTAGGCCTAATTCTTCAAAGTTCTTTGATGATCTCTGATACAAAGCACTAAAAACACGCTAACTATTGCTTTTATACATATCTTCTCTTGTACTTCAAAGAGATCTGAAGACGTAACTCCATTACAGCTTAATGGTCTGTATCTTGTTTTTTGTTTTTTCTTTTCTTTTCTTTTTTTTCTTGTAGCTGGGAGCTGCGTTTTAAATTAGGTTCAAAGCACTGAGAAAGAAAACATCCTCCTCAGCCTTCCCAAGTTGTCCACATTGCCTTTTTCTTCTTTCTCACCTTCACACTGTTTCTACAGGCAAGGTTTTAGCTAAAAGGAAAAAAATATATAAGAACATCTTGCAAACCACTGAACTATCATGGTCTCTTGTCTGTTCTGAGGTGTTTTGCATCCAGGAGATGGTAATGAAATGGAATCTCTACATCTGGAAAGCCTCGGGTACTGAATTTAACTAATAGAGAAAGGACTTGAGAAATTCATTCAAGTGGGCTTAGTGAATAAACAAATATCTTGCAATTTTGGTAACACAGCACTTGATCCTACAGTTTTCTCTCAAAGGAGAAGTGTTACTGTTTTCAGAGCTTGACAGTGTGTTCAGTTTTAACTGTCATGCGCACTTCTCCACTTAACTATGGTACACAACCACCGTCTCTCCTGAGCATTGAAACAGAAATACTGTGGTCTGGCATCTGTAAGAGCTGCTCCCAACACCTAACACCAAATTTGCCTTGGAGAGCTACATTCAAAGCTTCTCCCAGTGAAGGCATTGAGACTGAGGCCTATTCAGTGTTCACAGCTGTCTAAGAGAGGAGTCGTCGACTATTGGAGATATTTGCCCCATCCTCCTGATTGCACAGGCACATCCAAGGATACACTGCTTCATAAACTGGTGAACACTGTTACTTATGCAGCCCAGATTTACTGTAGGCACTCGCAGTCTTTGATTCCTTTACCTCTCCAGAAAGTTTCTGTGTGCTTTATTCCCCATGTCCTTTGTTTTAGCAACTTGTTGCAGTTCTCCTTCCTGTATACCAAGAATCTGTATTTCTTTCTTTCTGGTAAATAATAGCTTCTTTATGCTTCCTCGTCCACTCTTCTGAACCAAGATTTCCCATTTTCCCCCTCCATCTCCTTCACCTCCTCCATCTCCCCCAGTTCTAGCACCTATATGGATCTCTTCCTTACTTTGATCCCACTGTGTCAGAGACCATTGTGGCTTCTTTGTTTCATACAGGATTCATGTGACCCTAATCTTCCCCTTCCTCTCCATCACTCACTATTACTTTCCTATTGATGAGGATATCAAAAAGTTTTGTATAAAAATTGTCTTTTATGTAAGAAGACACTTCTCCACGGAATTGCTTCCTGATCTGTATAAAACATTTTTTCTTGTAATAGCTGGTGGATGTACATAGCTGGTGACATGTGGATGGTGTGGCCCTTACTCTGTTTTCTGGTTGTTTGTCATAAAAATCCATTGATTTCTGCCCAGAGATGTTTCAGACAGCTCATTACTGATCTTTTGCAGTTTGTAGGATATGACCCTCAAAGACCACTATGCTACATCTAAAAAGAAGATCATCAAGCTGAAACAGATTTCACAATCTCAGCCAGCTCCCTCACCTCTGTCAGAGAACGACTAGTCATGCTGCTCTACATGCAGACAATGATTTTGAGCATCAAGCATTTTGATAAGTAGAGCTTGTGAAGAATTCAGTGTGTAGCTAAGCTCTCCATAGCAATATTAATGAACAATGACCTTGCTTTGAAAATGTAATGTGTGTATTTCTTCAGTGCCTCTTGATGATCTCTGCTGATTTGTCTGCTGTGTTCAGTGTTCTTTGGAATGCCTGCCCTTCCAGGAAATCTAGAGTATCTAAACTTTGTTTTAGTAACTCTAAACTCCAATACAGGCACTTAAACAGGCACACACACATACACACACAGAGACAAGTGTTCACATTATAAGACAGTTTTTATCCATTTTCCAGCAAAGCTCTCTCATCATAAATGATCACTAGCGGGTAAGAGCACCACTTACTTTGTATGGATACACGGAAAAACTCTTTGGGACAGAAAGATCAATTAACTTAAAATAAAACAATGAATTTTTTTGGAGTTATAACCTTTTTTCTTTTCTTTTTAACTGCAAAGGGAACTTTCAGAAAAGCACTTAATTTCTGTGTCATTTCCCCCAGCTGTACAATGGGATAATAACATTGCTTTATCTCACTAGGATTCTGCAAAGAAAATTCATTATTCTTGTGAGAGCCTCCACTACCAGAGATAAGGGTGGTGGAAAAGCCTCTCAAATTCTCGTTGCATTTGAGCTTATCATTGGTCACATGAGTAAAGTTAAATACATTCATAAGTGCTAGCTGGCTTTGGACCTAGGTGCAATTAAGGTAAAAATCAAAAGTTTGAAATTCTTAAAATGAAAAGGTGTTGTTCCAATTCAAGAAATCAATAGCTATGAGCTTAAGAAACACTGAATATGTTTTTGGAATATGCTTTTCTCTGCATCACAGTAACATTTACTAGTACAAAAAGGAGAAAGCATTTTCAGAAAACCCAGCATAAAGCAACTCCACAGTGCTCTAAATGGCTTATTAGCTTATTGTGAAAAATTTTGTTAACACTAGAGTAAAGAATTCTGTTTAGTGCCCTATTGCTTGGTTTTGATACAACCGACAAGGATAAGTCCTTCTCTGGGCTGTTTTCAGAGATGCAGAGCCTTTCAATGGATGTTTCAGTTGAAGACTCAATCTGACCCTCTGGGAAGTACACAGTTACTTCTTTTTTATTTATTTATTTATTTATTTATTTTTCATAAGTAGGTAAGGTATCAATGTTCTCCAGCAATCTTCATCACATGGCTTTTCATAGGAAGAAGAACAAAAGGCAGAACAAAAAGTACAGGTTGTCAAAGATGCTGTCACTTGGAACATATTTCTCCTGAGCTGTATCTGAAAGGGGAGATAAAAGAAAAGATACTAAAATATTTTATGTGTTTGAGATGAGCTCAACGTGATTCCTGTTGTTTCTCTGCTAAAACACATCACTGACTAAAGCAACATAAAGCTCAAAATGCTATCTTTGAAAATAGTTAGACAAACACTACTTAGAGGCTTGGTTGTTTTTTAACTTTGCTTTAGCCTGTCAAACTCAAGTGTAGACACTGCCTCTGCCCCCTTGCCGTTTACAAGGGTTTAGACAGCTGTTGTGAGCCTTCCTCTCCTTCAGTTATTCTGCTATAAATAGCAAGATGTGGAGCAACAAATGCCCACAAACGCCACTGTAACAAAACACAGCAACGCATGAAGCCTACACTGGCTTGTATTGAAACTGTCCTTTTTATGGATGTTATATTTATGTCTCCTCCTTGACTAGAAGCTGACAGTGGTTGGCGGTCTGATCTGCACACTGAACTTGGCAGTTGTAATAGTCACAGTGCCTGAGAGGAATATTTGGTAACCACGGCAAGAGGCATTGCTGGTTACAAGCTGTGCATCTGTGTTTCATGTCTGCAGTCTGCTTTAATTTTTGTCTTACTCCACATCAAGCCTGCCGCTACTGCTTCACAGCTAAGGACAGTATTTTGCAAACAGTAAGGGGCAAATTTACTTCCAAACATTGATTCCCTTTTTAATCACAAAAAGCAAGAGGGCAGGGATCCTCCAGGACCTTGTACTCCTACTCCACAGGTATGACACCATGCAGATAATAAGCATCCTCTTCACCTCCCTAACTAGAAACTTCTGGTCTAAGCTAGTTGTCTGGCATCCACCTGTAGTGAGTGAAGAAAGAAAAGCACTGAAGAGACTGATTGATCCAGTCCTAAAGTAGATGTCTCAGACAAGCAGCATGAATTGCCCTCTGGAGCTTATCTCCTTCCATTAATTATAAAGGTAGCTTGGAAAACTGGTTTAGACTAGGTACTGGACTTACAGGCAGCTTAAGTTAGATGAGCCAACTTCCAGCCCTAGTTGAAAAGAGGCTACAGCAGAATCCTTTTCTCTCTGCCTATAGCAGGCTTTCTGCTGTGAAGAAACTTCAGGCAAAGCCCTGGCTTAATTTAAGTCCATGGCAGCACTTCTACCAGACTAGGATTTCCCCCGTCATACTTGCTTCTGATTCCAGCAAGCAGCACAGCCTCGCAAAACTACCAACCGGGAATTGCTGTAGTAAAACCTTTGCCTAAATATTTCACAGTACAAGAAAAGAAATCGTGCATATTGGAGAGGTGCAAAAAATGCTATTTCAAAACTGCTAGCAACCTTGCCTTTATTTTGTAAAGTGTTATTTTGCTGTACCATAAAACAAGGCCTTAACAGTTAAAGCCACTCTTTTTTTTACCAGATGCCATAAAATACTATGTGAGTATTCACAAAAGCAAAAAAAAAAAAAAAAAAACCAGAAACAAAACAAAACAAAAAGCTATTCATAAAACTGAAAGAGATTGGGGCAGAAATTGGGTGCCTCTGTGTTAATTCCCAAGTACCATGTTTTGACCCAGTTATTCTATGACTTACTGGAAAAAGTTATTGTATAAGCTCGACACAGAAATTGTGAAACCGAGAGGAAAGCCAAGAAACAACCTCAGACAAGACCTCCAAACAAACATGTAGGGATTTTACAAATGCAGGAAGGGGAGACAACAAAAGAGGTCTGTGATAAAATATGACTCCTGCAGAAGGCAGTACATGTTTCACAGGTGGGTAAGGAGACAGACAGGGGTTATAGCCGACTTGCAGCCATTAGGGCTGACAGATAACAGGAAGCCTATTTAGTATCTCCGTCAGCATTTGGCAGTAGCCCAGGTCAGACAGACATGCAAATAAACCTTTGTTGTTTTAAAATCCACTTTCCGTTATGTTACCTTTTTTCCTCCACAGTTATGATTAGCTAATGTGTGTTGTTTTTTTTTTTTAAAGAAAGCCTTGTGGTCATTGCAGCATCTCAGGATTGGAGTTGTCACCAAAGAAGAACTGCAGGTATTAAAACCCCTAAGAGGAAAAGTGTCTGTTGCTGTGTGATAAGCAGTCCCAGTCCCGATGGCAAGGTGGCCCAGGTGGATGTACAGAGGACTTTTAGGAATGTGCCTGAGGACAGAGAAGAGCATGTAGCTTGTCTCTTGGGATCTATCTACCTAAACCTCCTGTAAACAGGAGAAGGCAAAACAGCCCGTGATACAGGCTGGCAGGATGTGGATCTGACTGCTGCCTGATGGCTGTTGCAGAAGACCACCAGACCTCATCAGGCCATGCCAAGGAGACTCATGGCAAAATGCTTGTTTTTGCAGCCCATGCTGACTTACCTAATCCTGCAGACAGGAACTGGGTTAGCAAGCAGTCTTTAATCATAGCTACAGCCCTTCTGCCCATCACGTCATCGTGTGAGCTGTGCCTGAACTCCAGGTGGGATGCATGGATCCAGAGAAGCCTTCAGCTGGTGCTCACCGCCAGTATGCTGCAGCACACTTCTCTGGTCATACAGATTTTGGTCACCTCAGAGCATGAGCAGAGTTTGTATCTAACCTCAATACACTGATACACCGTGCAGCACATACCTCAGAGGAAAAGGGATAAGAGATTCAGTTAACACTGCAAAGGATTTTTTTTCTATAAATACATATGAATATATAAAAATATATCAAACATAAATATTTTATTAAGTGCATTCCTGTGCAGCTGAAGTATCAGAAAAGATACTTTCTCTCACAATTTCAGCAAAGGTAAGTAACAATATTTCACTCTGCCTCGGCACATACTTTGCCCACAAATTCCTACCTACATCTACTTTCCCTCCCATTCACAGTAACTGAACATGCTTCAAATATTAATTTTGAGTCAGTCCTGCAAAGGGCAAAACAATATCAGTCCCATTTTGTTGTGGCAGAGATAAAGGCACATATGGGTTGCCCATAGTTACCGAGAAAACCTGGAGGATATCTGTGGTTTAAACCTCTGTCCATCATTTGGCCACTGACATGCCTAGATGGCCAAAATAGCCTTTGTGTTGAAAAGCTGCTAGGCAGAATATGCAACTCAGGCTTCACTGAGCTTTGAGCACAAAACCCAGGCAGAGGCATATTTTACTGCAAATAAAGGGAAACTATTCTTTTCTGTCTGTTAATGACTCTGCATTGCTAACCATAAGATTTCAGAAGTCATGAATTCTCTCTACAACAGTTTCCAAGGAATAAAACTAGCCAAAAGCAAAAACAAAACAAAACAAAACAAAACAAAACAAAACAAAACAAAACAAAAAACGATTTTTTGAGTCTCATGAATGCTCATTTCATTTTGTTTAACTCTGTTGCTAAGACTGTAGTGTGCACTCAGGTCAACTTATTAAGGGTTTCTGAGGTACCACAAGAACTATAAACCTGTGCTTTTAAAAATGAAATATGAGATATATCCCCAGAATCTGGGACTTCAAGAATAAGACAACAAATATCATGAGACTCCATTAAAAGCAGGAGCTGACAACATTGTGACCCTGCAGTGACATGGAAGAGTCAGCACTATTTCTAGGAACTGTGAGATGTTATTAACTTTTGAAATGCCTTCTAGAACAATTTGGGGGGGCAAGTTAATTGCTGACAGTAGTAATTTCACCTGAATAAAGTGAAAATTTACCTGAATAAGAAATTTCACCTGGTTCCTCCATGAATAAGTTTGGTTCTGGGTGTTTTTAATCTGTCCATCCAAGTTCAGCACATGCAATTTTCATACCAGCAGCGCATCTTTCCTGAAGGAAAAAAAAAAAGGGGGAAGAAAAAGAAGAAGGAGCAGACAGATTTTGGAAACAAAATTATTACTTGCAACTGTGACAAATACCATGGTGATGCTTACAAGAATTTTTCCTATTAAGTTTTAGCAAGTGCTAGTGCCGCAATAAATAACCTTTCATATACAGAGGCTTCAGAAGGAGCAAACAAGAAATAATGCAAACCATTCTAGAAGTATAAAGAAGGATTATATCACTTCAAAATTAAACCAGTAATATAATAGGAGGAAAAAAAGTAGCTGAAATATATGGAATTACTTACCAGGGTGTCCTCATTCCTAATCTACAATTTATATGCACATTTATTTTACCTTTTTTTTGTAGGAATAATTAGATGTACTTAGTCCAAATGAAAAATATCAGCTTATATGTAAGGCAATATAGAAGCATCTGAGGTTAAATAACACTCCTGGTAAGATGTATATGGATCTTTTTCATACCCAGTATAGTCAACTGGGGATTTTCCTCGCATTTTCCTATTCTACTGAGGCTTCAATCCTACTTCCCCTGAGAAATTTAATTTCTCATGGGTAGGAACAAAGAGTTTTGAAGGTGGAATAAAATGTAAAGTCAACCTAAGTGTTTTCTGTGCAGATAAAATGTGCATGCAGCTGAGTTTACAGAAGGATTTCATAATATCAAGACCTACAGAGATCAAAAGTAATAATAAGGAGTCTCTCGGAGTCTGCAGTGGCATGAAAGGATCATGCATTCGGGAAAATCTTTACATTCTGTTTGTTGACATCTTGTAGATTGAGTTATGCCAGAGGGATATAAATCAATGGAGATACTGCTTAGTGTTTGAGTCCATTATTAATACAGTCCAGTATATTTTTATATGAATAAAGTTTTTTTTAAAGTGAAAAACATATTTAATTTTTTTAATTCTTCAAGACAAGTTTCATTCCCCACTTGCACATATGATTTATACAATCTGAATGTTCTCCAAGTTCAGCCAGTCCTACTCAGGAAAAGATATGTATGTAAATTTGACAAATCATTATTAATATAGAGAAGCCTTGTTAGGGTGGCAACTTTATAACCAGAATCTGTAAATATAGCTAGAATTTCCCTATAGAAGAATACAGATTCTGCCTGGTGAGAGATCCCTGGGGATCTCTCTGGAAGTTGTCATTTCAACCTAAGCAGTCATCTTTTCAATCTAAGCATTACAATCCAAGGCTGAGATAGAAAAATAGGGATAAGCAATGTGGTGTTATGGTCCAAGAAAATATTCACTACCCCAACAAGATGTAGTTCAACAGCAAGGACACAAGTTGAAATGCAGACAGAGAAAAGGAAAATATACTTAAGACAAACAAAGGAGAGTATAAAATATTCCTGAACTAATATGCTAGATTGCTATATTTCCATTGATATATGTACAGAAACGAGTATCTAAGTCATTCTGAAGACAGTATTAGGATTCATGAAGCAGCTACTTAAATCAGCAGCTAAGATATCCTTAGTGTACAGCAATGCTTACAGATTGGAAAAAAATAAAATAAAAAAGGGAGAGAGGGAGAAAATGGAAAATAGTGACTACTGGATTCTTGGATCCAACAGAGTAGAAAAAAAAATAGTTCATGTAATAAAGCAGTGCAAATGTTTTCAGTTCTGGAAAAGTTTATTTGGAGGATTTAAGTAAGCAAGAGTTCAATCCTAAATGTAGAACTTTAATGGAAATTAAGGAGGACCTGACATGTTGAAGGCTGACAAAAATAAGAAGCTACCAGGAAAAATAATAAGAGACCATTAAAATCCACCACATCTTCCAGCTCCATTGTGATCAAGATCACCTGGACTTACATGAAAAATAACATACAAAAAAATAACAAAACAAAAAAAAAATAACAAAAAAAAAAAATAACAAACATTTACAGATATATTGAAGGTGGATGAAGATCTACTTCAGAGAAAGATGCCCATAAATACAGAAGGCCAAGCAATATATATGTAAAAAAATATATATGTATATATATTATTAAGATAGATACAAAGTTTTCTGAACTATACCCTCACCATTGTATTATATGAAAGAGAGGTGGAGATAAAGCAGCAAATAGTATCAGGAAGATTTCAAACAGTTCAGTAGGGAAAAACACAGATTTCATACTCATATGCAGAAACACAGGAGTAGACATGTGGAACACAAAACACTATATTGCCTGTGTCATTGCTTGTTATTAAAAAAAAAAAAAAAAAAAAAAAGCATGGGTCTATTAAAGTCAATGGAGATGTAGCAGTTTAAAACAACTAAAACAACTGAGTTTTTGTCCCTGTGTAGCAGTATGGTTGAAGGGTTCCCTTATGGTGAAGGAAATCACATTTCTCCCTCCCTCATAGTCCATTGAAGAAACATTTTCAACATAAACTATCTTTAGAAAAAGACCTCCATGGGAGGTGGAGCAGCTTAGTCATAACTGATGAAAAGATGGTTTCCCAACAGGGAAATTGCTTGAGAATGCATGTGAACATATTTTTCTCTTTCTCATTTTTATTTTTGAAACAGCTTTTTCGAAGGTTTTAGCACAGACAAAACAGTTGCTAAGCCACACACTGGCAAAACAGGTACAGTATTTATTGGTTTCACTGATTCGACATAAGCATATGTCACAGATGAAATTATACACTTCACTCGTAAGAGAGAAGCAGCAATACATTCACTGATATAATGTAGTGATCTATCAAAGCTTAATCATAAATAAAACAGCAACTAAAGATTCTCAATGGCAACGTACGCTTGATTAGCTACTACATAGAGGACGGGGTTAGTCAGATGCATTCGGGAGACCTTCCCATTCAGTCATAAATTTCAGAGTGCATCCCCTTGCTTTCTAAACTCCTTGAACTGAAGAGGTAAGGAGCCTAGGTGAGGCTGCATCCACACCCAGTCCCAGGCTTAGCAACGGTTTATGTCCAAGGAGTATGTGTGCACAATCAAAGATATAACCTTATCAAAGCTTATAAAGATTAGCAAGCATTCACTTACCAAGGATCTGTTGTAGCAAGGAATCCATCACAAGGAGTAAGGGATTTCTGCAGAAGTGACCTTGAGAGGTGTCCCTGCCCGTGGGGAGATCCTGTCATGCAGCCAGCTGCCATGCAGAGGAGCTCAAAGGCCTCGGCCTGCTCACTATATACGGGGTAAGATGATGGCTTAACAGTTACTGCTTTTTTGGCGCATGCTCTATTGACTCTCAGCTGCTGAATAAGATGTCTGTCTGTCACTTTCTCTGGCTCCCAGATTGAGCCAATGCTGTGGTTGCTGTCTACGTAAGCAAGACCCAGAGTGCAGAGGCCACTATCTGCCTGAGCAAGGCCTTGGGTGCAACAGCCAGTGTCTGAGCAACGCAACAAGCAGACCGAAGGCAAGTGGAGGGGGGATCACACCATCAGAGCATATCACAAGTATACCACAGCGCCAAGCCCTGGGCAGTATTTTACTTAACCCCAAAAGACCCCATGTAGCATAGACTGGATCAGTTACAAAAAGATAGGGAACCACAGCTCTGATGAGTATTTCTGCCATGGATCTTGCTTGACAGAGATACACCAGGAATCTTACTGGGCAAGTCAGAGAAAATATGTCCTGTGAAAGTGGCCTAAGACTTCCATGAAAATAACTCACAAAGTAAAAGTATTCCAAAATCGAATCTAATAACACTGTATAGAAAAATCTATTCTACCGGACTGGAATTCAGAGTATCATAAAGCTAGGGAACTGTGCAAGCAACATTAAACAAGACAAGCAAAATGTAATCCAGAGCACTTGTAACAAAAGCAGAGAATAAGGAATGAGAGAATAAAAGTGTGAAGGCAGCCTAATGCTTCCACAATTAATAGATCTACTTTAAAAAAAAAAAAAATCAATTCAGTTTAAAGTTAGAAAGATGTCAGGAAGGAGCAATTATTCATGGCTAATTACTTTTTAGAGGATGATGACAATGGGTTAGTTTTCTCTGGTATTGATGAAGAAAAACCTCTAGGGAAATCATTTGCAAAGGTTACCAAGGATATGAATTATTCTCTGGTATGTATGAAGTACAAGAATATGAAAGAATGAGTAAAATACTAGTGTAGTGAAGGTCATCAAGACAACTCAGCTAATAGCATAAATTACCGCTTTAGAGATTCAAACATGCCATCAATATGTCTAATAATGAATGATCTCCTGGAAGGGATGATTTGTTATGAACTGCTCAGATACTCACCAGAAAGAAGACTTTAAAACAATTTGCTTCAAGAGAATATAACAAAAGACAAAATTGCTGAATTCCGTTTGCAGTTGTCCCTGTGAGTGAATTAAGGAAAAAAAAGAAAAAAAAAGAAAAAAAAAAAAAAAAAAAGGAAAAAAATACTTTACACAGGACTATACTGAGATCTGTTGTCTTCCTATAGTGTAGGGTTATGTATGACATTCTCTTGAATTTCATTAACTGCCCTATCCCTCTCCAGAACTGCTATGGTATTCTTCTAGTCTTCTCCATTTTATCTTCTCTCCATTTTGTGTTTTCTCTCATCCATGCTGTCTCTTCAGTATATCTATTCACAACCATCTTGCCTATATGAGCCCTTTAAGATAGCTGGCATCAGTTTTACCTCTTGGAAAAGTAGCCTGTCTCACTATGTCCATACCCCAGTGGACTCTCCATCCTAATTTGCTCACAGCCATCATTAGTTGTTCACACACTGTTCCAAGTGCCCTAAAACATTTGAAAATCTGATTATAGAGTCCATAGCACTCATCATAAATTCTTCTTCTCATTCCTTTCTCCTGCCTTTAAGGTACCACATTACCACCTCTGCCGTTTAGCCTATACATTATACTGCTCTGTACCTGTTTCCGTGGATGTCTCCCTTCATGCTTTCATTTGTTCACATCCTGGCTCTAGCAAGTAGGATAACCACACATACCACTGTCACATTTATATGCAACCTCCATAGGCAGAAGGAGAACTAGATATTAGCTACCAGTTCCTTAGTAACTGCTACTATGATGACATGAATAGACATCAGTTCCTAGACTCCAAATAATGAGCATACATGAAGCCTGCATACATTATGAAATGGTACCAAACTGTCCACTCTTCTGTTAGAAGACAAAGGAAAACTTTTTTGTTTAACCTCAGCACAGATTCAGTTAAAAAACACTAGCTTTATTATCAACTGATCAGCCCCCTGCTATAAGGCATTATTTAAATAGTCTCCCAGTATTTATAGAAAAGAACAAGCACGTGGCAAATGAGGAGACTGATATGCAAATTATAAGGTGCTAAAATAAACAAAGGGCCTAGCCTGCCATTGTCATACATTTTGATCTTCAGTGTTATTTTGAAATAAGCAACTCACCTCCAAACATGACTTGAATACGTCATCTACTCTTTCCAAAACTACATTGCTACCAGGGAGGCCTCATCCCTCCCATGTCAACTAAAAAGAAGAAGATCCTCTAAGGAAGAAACAGACCAGTAACAAAGCCAGGAAAAAGAGCCTGACCCACCTTTGAAAGCCATCACTGCAGAGAACTTTGAGGGCAAGAAGACAGTGACTGCCTGGCAGGCAGTGCAAAGAAAGGAAAGTGTTTCATGAACAGCTCACATAGCTTGGCAGCTAATAAAATCGGTAGAGTTAAACTGGCATAAAAGTAGCATGGGGAGAACCAGACTTCTGTTGCAGAAATAAAATTGCATTTAACCTGATGAAAGCTGAAGCATTTCTTGTCATCTAAAATCATGGCCTCCTTAGGGCTAAGCTAGGTGCAAAGGGCAGGAAAGTTTTAATGCAAATATTTCCTCTACAAACAATCAGAATCAAACAGTGATGAGTGAAAAGGTTGATATTCAAGCACAATTTCAAAGGTGAAACCTGCTTTCCTGGTAACAGAGATCAGAGAATGCATTTTTCTGCCTCTTGAATCAGGTCTAATAATTCATTCCTAGGCAAACAATGATGGACTGATGCAAAGTGGAGTGCTTTTGAAGACATCTAGTGTCTAATATTGTAAACAAAGAACTAATATGAAGATCAATAATAAATAAGGTGGTAAGTACAACTGTGATTCTCTTTAATACAATTACAAATTTTAAATAATCTCATTTGCATTAATTTTTTTTCTGTGAGCCACTGAACTGTTAGACTATAAGACTATTGTCTGTTCTTTTCTGATTGGTGGAAGGAAGGAAGGAAGGAAGGAAGGAAGGAAGGAAGGAAGGAAGGAAGGAAGGAACAGAAAATACTCCATGTGTGTATATTCATGTGTTTGCAAAGCCATTTGGACTTCATTCAGTACATTACAAGTGAAAGTGTCATGCTTATAAAAAGGAAAAAGTAGATTTTAGCATATCTAGACCATCTATGAAATTGGTATCAAAAGTTATAAATTCCTAAGCATAATGTTTGACAATAACCTGTCATAGGAGCAATAAATTCATTATAAAAATGCTAGAAGTGCATATATCTCATTGACTGTTTATCATTAACTGCATGGGATGCTGATAGGAAATGTCTGGCTATAATTTATATTTCTGATGTCTCTCAAACCTATTACTCACCTTTCTCCAGTTTTATAGCTCCTCTGGACAGAATAGAAATTGAACAGGCAGAGTAGGTTCTGGAGGGGAATTTTCTGTTGTTGCTTTTCTCTATTATCTCATCTTTCCAGCCTGAGCTGTCTCTTACCTGTGATCAGACCTTCACCATCCTAGTGTTTCCCAGAAAATAAGGCTTAAAAATAAAAAAATAAAAGGGAGAGAGAGACACTTTACTACATTTCAATTTCAAGCCCTGAAGCAATTTGATTCTAATAATTAAACATATTGTATGTAAACTCCTAAAGTCTCAGTCAGTTTTCACACTAGGAAAATATTCATTAATGGTAACAGGAGTTTTAAGAGTATAAAAACCTGAAAATGAGTTTCCAGAAAATAAAGACAATATATTTGTGAAATATTCACTAAGCCAAAGACTCATTTATGCTGTGGCATGGGTTCAAGAAATCTAATCTTGTAAAAAAGTCCTTATGCAGAAATGTTGTAACAGAAATGCTATAACAGAATCAAGGCTGCAGAGATGCTATAGCAGAATCAAGTCTAAAACTTGCATATGAATCTATTCCAATTAATAACTAGAGTTTGAAATTCTTATAGTTGTGTACTGAACATTATCATATTTTTTTAAAGTCTTGTTAATATTGCATCAATTACCGACTAGTAATTGCAGAAGACTTCAGTGAGGTTAGAAAAGAAAGAGTTTATTCTGTTCCATTTAAAACTGGTACCCAAGCTTGTACAGATGAGTTTTAGTAAGCTGCTAGAGCAATGGAGCTTGTTAACATTCCTCCATGGAGCAGCCTCTAAGCCCAAGCTCTGGAAACACAAGCTTGCTATGCAGTTTCTCATGGAAGACTTTATTTCTCTTTTATTGACTAAACCTACTGCATTTCTTCCTTTTACAGCATGTTAGAAAAAGGGCAGGCAGTAACAGCAAGGTTTAGAGGAATATTTTTCATGTGAATCCTGGGTTCTCATGTAGCACAATTTAGCAAAAGAAATCTGCATTCTGTGTTTTTCCTAGAGTGAGAGAAAGAAACAATTTTTCTTGTTTCAGATCCTATGTAATCTGATTCAACAATCCATGAAAGAAAACCCAGAAGGGTCATTACTTGATCAACATTCAATAATGCATTTTTATAAAAGAAAAGGTTTGTAACAGTTCATGTAAGAGCAATGTATAATGAAATCATGGTTATCTACTGTAACTTGTGCTTTTACTCTGGGAATGGCTGGGTTTGTGGGGTTCTGCTACTGTACAAGATATGAGCTACATTTTTGCAGTCTATAAATCCAAATCTTGAATACTTTGGTTAAGAAATTATATCTTAGATTAATATCTCCAGGCAAATCTAATCAAGAATACTGGAGTTTACCTTGGAAAAACTGAAGAGTCTGGAACTAAAATTCACACATACACTTTTTATTTTTTTCTTTTTTTTTTTTTTTTGAAAACATAAAAGATTGTTTCTCCTCCCTGCAATAATATGATATTATCATATCTAACAAAACTGCTGGTGTAACAGAGGATATGTTTGTTACAAAGTGTCTAAGATCAGCCACTTTCTTATATCTAATGCTGTCATCAAATCAGATTTTTTGTGAGGCAGTGTACTATCCTGAAAATCTTCAATTTCTTTATAACTACAATAATAAGAGAAACCTTCACTCATTCCGATAGCTTGACTGCAATCTAATGGATGGGAAGGAGGGATCAGGTGGATAAAGCAAGACAACATATTATACAACTGAAATGTCCAAGTAATGCAGACTCAAATGTTAAATTACAGTGTAACTGTCTAAATCAAAGTTATTTTCTTTACAATATAAGAAAGGTTTAAGTGAATGTCAAATGTGAAACTAACTAGGCAGGAAAATTATTATTCAAAAATTGTATGATGGCAGATTAAATCACATATGATAGTTAAGAAGAAATTAATCCTCTATAGGTTGTGTCCAGGTTGCCACTGCTAACATTAAGGGTCTGAAAACTGCATTATTTCTGGAGCTGCGAAGTATAAAGGCTATATATGTATTTTACCATCTCCTGCATCTTACGGTCATTTGAAAAAAAAACAGCCATACTATTTGTGCTTCAAGAACACTGTGATTATAACGTTTCTGCTAGTGTTTGCCTCACACCCTAACAGAAGGCCAATAAAGCCCAGGGGACTTCAGTCAAAGGCTTACATGCAAAGGGAGAATTTCCACAGAATTGAGACCAGCCTTTATGCAGTATTAAATACAAGTGCACGATATGCATAAACCCAAAGAGGAAGATAAGCTACTTTTATAGGGAAATTTAAAAGAGGACAGTGGCCACATGAAGAGAGAATGCTTCAGTTTAAAAAACAGCCTAAAACAAATTGGAGTAAGGAAGGACAAAAAGGGTAAGGATGCTGGGGAAACAAATGAAAAGACCCAGCCAGGTGCATGACAGGTCTGTAATAGCTGACAGGAAAAAATAATTTCATTCTGTCATTAGGCTGGATGAAATAGGTGGAAGCAAGAAGTTGTAAAGGAAGATGTAAATACAGCTCAGCTCTACTTCTGCTTGTCTCTGCCTTGCATATGTGTCCCATGCCTGCTTCATATCACCATAAAGGATGAAGAACTTGTCTTTTTCTTTCTCAATAAAATATTTCAATAAAATATTTTGAAAAGTCATGTTTTCATTCTGATACAAAAAGGAAATAGTTTCCTGACATTCTTCATGAAACAAAATGCAGGGGATTTTGTCAGCCT